AATTTGTGACATTAAGAACTATGGAGAATTTTTGCTGGAGAATTATGAAGTTGCTACTCCAGTTTTGATTACGATATACAGAATCGCACTGGCGACGTGCGGTTATGCCTCGGCAAGGTTTGAATGCCTCGTTCATCTTTGCCGTACATTGATGCCCCAAGAAGGCGACGTAGCATACCATCTCGTCAGAGTGCCTTGACTCGCCTTTTTTGAATAAAACCTACCGCGAGCAGAGGAGTTTTCAATTGAGTGGCTATGAAAACCTCGCAGTTTGCTTCTTTTAACATTTTGTAATAAATTTGTTGTCCTGCTTTTGACTTAAAGTCGCCTTGAAACCTTTTCAGGCTTGAGTAAGTCCAAATATATCTGTTTGTTATATACAGGGACGCCGGAGAAGGGGCGGGGGGGCAAAATTGTTGCCTTTTGATAGAAGGGGCAAGGGGGGCAAAATTGCCTTTTTCACAAAAGCTTTTCTTGGCATCAGTCGTTTGTAATTATCAAAAGATTCATACAAAATTCTGACTGATTGGGTTATTCATGTGACGACATTTCTCAAAAATCGGAAATAAATTTCTTATGCCAAAAGTAAGCTGGTCAGAAAAATACTGGTCGGCCCGCAGGCTAAAAAATACCTACAGAAGATCGAAAAAAATGGCAGTTACGAAAGACTTTCTTGGAATTATTTTTAAAATGCCCTTTTACTCAAGCCTGCCCCTTTGTCCTTGGTCGTTCCAGCGTCCCTGGTTATATATCTGTTTTGTTATTTTTTAAAGCCTGCTCCCTTCAGGCATGGCTCTTGCTCGAGTTTGCCCACCCCAACTGACATCTATAGATACGTGTAACGGGTTACAAGTCTTTTGCACGCTTAGGGAAAAACGAGAGACTAGGAGAACTTCATTGTCTCTTTTCTGATCGGGCCTTTTGGAACAGTTCCGTTCAAAATACCTCACTAATTGATCAATTTGGAACAGCTTTATATCCCAAGCAGAACCGCTCTTCAGTGATGTGCCTAGACAACCTTTCTTGGGGAGGGGGGGGGGCGTTCAGAAAAAAGTGACCAACTTTACATTTTTGAACGACTACTTCTCCGTAGAAAATTTATTAACAATGGAATAGATTATCATGTACACACTTAATGATAACAAAGTAAAGAGCATATAATGGCGTGAAATTATAAGGAAATTTAGTTTGCGGAAATTTATATTTCTGGAATTCAAATATTTGGGTGAATTCATTAGCATCTTTTTTCACCCAAAAACTACAGCTTCTTTTGAGTTCCCTATAACACAAATTTCAGCTTATAGAATTTCCTCTGATCCTTAGAACCTTGCGCGAAAAAATATGGCTGGAAGGCCGCCGTGCGGTTTCAGAGGCTCTGTAGCAAAATGGAAAATTTTTGCGACCACACCCTTAAGATTATTAGCTTAAAATGCATCTCAGAAAATTTCAATCATTTCCTGCAGTCATTTCTTATAGTCGTTAGCTTGCTACTTATAGCAAATAATTTGCAATGCACTCTTTTTTGTACGAACCAGTGAAATTAACTTAAGGCTGACTGTTTTTTCGAAAATCTGAGGCTGGATTGTTCTTAATTTGTTCTAAAATTTACAGGTTGTTGTGTCGCTCTAGGGAGGTGTTCAGGCCTTATTTGCCACAGAGTGAGTAAGACAACCTTCATTTGCCGACAGGTTTGAATATTCACCGAAAAGGCACCCACACATGGCTAAAAGTTCTTGTTTTTGAGATAAAGCCTTGTTCAAAATTACATTTTACAGTAGCTCAGCCTCAGCTTGTTCTTATTCTGTTTTTGACTTTTGACCAATTTTGAGGCTCGTGTTCTTATAAAATTACTCTTACAAAAAGAGTATTTTATAAAAAAGAAAGTTGACTACGACCAACCATGACCAACAAAGTAAATGAATTATATGTTGAAATGTGGTCAAACCTCCTATTTAATGCTGAGGCTCCCGCTGCATGACCGACTTTCGTAGAGTTTGCAGACATTGTGAGGGGGGGGGGGGGTGATGCCCCCACATTCCCCATCGGCACATCCCTGCCGCTCTTGTTGCCTTTTTGGCAATGCAAGACCTAACTGAAGAAAGAAAAGGAGGCGGTACCGTGTAAACATTAATCACAAAGAAATGATTTGGTGTTTGAAGGTATTTCGAAGGTATAAGACAGTAATAGTCTCTTCTTCATTTCAGCAGTTATCTCTTATATCTTATCTTCGAAGCATATTGGGGTATTTGAGGAAAAGAACAAGAGTCAAATCTTAATACTAATACACTCAATAAACATATAGAGTTAAAAGTTATTTAACAAGAACAAGATACATAATCAAAAGGAAAAACTATATAAAAACAATAGAAAATCAGCTTGTTTAGTCCAGCCTTGGAGATCAGCCCTGGGTACCAGGCATGCCAACCTTCATCGGGCGGATTTCTGTTGGCATTCTTCTGCATTTGCACAGGGGGCATCCATCCTTGCCACGCTGAAATCCGAACCTGCAATATTGTCTGCACATCTGAGGAGGACATTGTCTGCATTTGCAAACTGGGCACCCGTCTTTATCGCTCAAAAAGCCGTGTTTGCAGTGCATTTTGCACATCACTGGGGGACAGAGTGGTTTTGGATCTGGTTTACATTCGCAGATTTCACATCCGAATTCATTCTTTTGAAACCCATTCTTGCAATACATTCGGCACATGCCAAGTGGACATTTTCTGCATTTGCAAATATTACAGCCTTTATCGTCTCTCTCAAAGCCATGTTCACAGTACATGGCACACATAGCCAAAGGACAGACTGGAGGTTTGACGGTACAATGACAAAACGGACACCCTCTTCTCTTACCTTTCTTGCATTCTTTAGGGCATACTGGGGGAATTGGGGGGCAAATTGGCAAGCACTCGCAAAAGTCACATCCATCAACATTTCTACATGCACCAAATCTTCCTCCAGGGCAATGTATCATCGGACAGGGCTTCTTCGGGGATGATTGGCCAGTTGGTATGCATTTACAGCTTATCTGAGAGCAGTCAACATCTTCTGTCCACGGTCTTTCTGTCCGAAAACCTTCTGGGCATTCCGGACACATAATAAGGGGACATGGTATGCCTGATTTTCCTTTTAAAAGCAAAAATGTAGCCATAAGAAATCTTGAAATTTAAATGCCTGTTTAATATTCTCGAATAATTATCAAGTTCAGTATGAGGATGTTGAAAAGTGGCAATGAAGCCGCTTTCATTTCAGATTGTCAGTTATTATTATAATATATATCAACTGATATCCTTGTCATTTGAATACAGCCATTCATAAAAAATATTCTTACGTTACGTCTTTGCCTCTAGGAGGCAGAAAGCTGCCTCGTTCTACATTTGCACTTTACAATTTTTCAAAAGAATCGCTAAATTTTATTATCAGCTCCAGTCTTCTGACCATTATTTATTTGGGCCTAAAATATTTGTCAAAAATGGATGCAGGAGACAGAGGCAGAGTTTAGAGCACAAAACTGTAAACTGAGACTTTGAACGTAGAGAGACAAAATGACAGCGATAAAAGTATACGTTTAGGTCAAATACCGTAATGCCTCGAATAAGTGCCAGGGCGGTTATTTAGTTTTTGAGGCTCCAGGATGGGCGCTTATTCGAGGGAGGCGCTTAATCGAGGGGGCTCTCATTTGAAAAATATATTTGGAAGTAACTAAAAAAAGAATGTATTTTAAATTGAAGCATGTTGTTATGATTATGATTTTTGACTAAAAGTAAAAAATAAGAATAAATACTAAATAAACTGAGTTGGCCATTCAATCTTTCTCCCTTCCAATTATGTTGTCGTCGAAAATTAGATGAAGCGCCCGTTTCTGAAGGATGAAGGATGGGCGATTATTCGAGAGTTGGGCGCTTATGTTAGGGGCGCTTATTAAATAGCTTCACCTCTAGGGTGGGTGCTTATTCGGGGAGAAGCTTATTTGAGAGGGGTGCTTGTTCGAGGCATTACGGTAATAAGTCATATTTCGACGGCAAAGATGTTATACCAAAAACTAAAAGAATCTTCTCGTACCTTCTGGAGCTGCCAAACAAAGCTACAAGAGATAAAAATGTTTCAATCAGAGTCATATAATTGAGGATATTTGCAAGTGCAACGAGAGGGGAAATTAGGAGGAGTAAAAGGTCCGGGACCCGTGCTTTAATCGGGCCCGTAATAATCTTACACCATATTACAATCAGGTTGTTCAAAGTTCTATTTTCAACGCAAAAAGCTACTACTTTCAGCTACCTATTTAAGATCGACGCTTGTAAGTTTACCACAGGGAATAGTGATGTCCACATGCCCTTGATTCATGCATGGAACGTTTTTGCACAATCTTCTTCAGAATCTTTAAAAACATTTCAAACAATTATAACTAAAAAGGGCGTTTCACAGTTCTCAAGGAGCCCGAATGGCGCGACCACTTAAAATTAGAGGAACCCAGTTTTATGTATCCCTCCTGAGTTTCAGAAACCCCACTTAGAATCAGATGCAAGCGTAAACATTAACATAAAGAGCGTAAACGTTGTAGGGTTAAAATATTCGAAGAGAGTTAAGTTCTAGAGGACTGTATATATTCAACATAAATGTAAGATAAATATTTTAATAGTTTGACGAACGAGAGAAATCACCTGGTTGTCTTTGGAAATACCATACGACACCAAAGAATCGTACAGCAAAGAATGATTCGAATAAGAATTAGTCTACGTAAGAATGTCAATAAAACGACGTTTCGCAAGAGTTTTTCGGATATAAATGTTCTCAAGAGTTACCAGATACGACTGTTCGCTAGCGTTTTTGATAATAAGTTCCGATATGCCACGCCTATCAACAAAGTAGCCTCGCTTTCATGGTTCGCTCACACTGGGCCCGAGCTGGCTGTCGGAGGTCTCGGATATTTACACGTTCCAATCGATCAACGAACCCTCTAGGCTCCAGGCTCTGGCAGTCGACTTTGTTTAAACAAAAGAAACTAACTTTCATTTATTTTATCTGATACAATCAAACGATTTGCATATCAGTAGAGCTTTTTCCAAAATCCACCTTTCTCCAAAACAATAGAGCTTTTTCCAAAATCTTTTGTCATAGACGGCAAAGTTTCCCTTGCCCGACCCCCTTACTTTCCAATCTCTGTCGGAGCCCATGTGGAAAATGAGTAGGTATGCTCTTAGTTATACAAACTCAATGCAATGGGGATGAAGTCCATTTCGGGGGAAAGTCCATTTTAGGGGGAAAGTCCATTTTAGGGGGAAGGAGAGTTCCTGTTCGGTTGCTTGCTGCTTAGTTCACTGTTAGAAAGGAAGAAGGTGCAGCATATAATTTGTCCTGTTTAAATATTACTAGTCTTATTGGATGCTGCAAACACTCCTACAATGCTGGGAAGAAAACGTAGAACTAACCCCTCCCCCTCCAACATCTTGCGAGCAAACCAATAATATCATTTGCGAAGCGTAGCAAAAGAATCTCACCTGGGTTGCCACGGCAAGCAGTATTAATTTCAGCATCTTCTTCGCTTATCTACAGCAATTCCTGCAAATAGAAGATTCGTGATCGAACATTTCCTGCTTATCTAGGACTTTCATGGCTGTCTTTGCCTACCTGCAGGCACCATTGTTTGTTTACCTTGTTGTAAAACTGACATGAAGGAAAATGGAGTTTCTCGGTGGGGAATAGAGTTTCCTTTAGGAATTTGTAATCTCATTTCATTCGTTTTATATTCTTTACACTTGATCGATTAGTCAATTTGAGGATCTTATAGTAGAGTCTAAAATATGAATAATAATAAATACATATACAATGAAAAGTTGACATTTCATAGCACTCATAGGGGAAGCAATTAATGCAAATTAGAAATTTGAAATCCTGATTCCCATGAGCTGTTTACTTCACATTTTAGAGGTTCGCTAAGAAAATGACTCTTATCTCCAATAACTTGTGTACCATTCTCATACATGTATACCATTCTAGGCAACTCTGGAATCGTTAATGCATCTGTTTGCGATTATTTTAATAATAAAATGCGTTAATGCATTTATAACTCTGAATTCTGTCCTGCCTCGATACTATTAAGATATGCATACCTTTAAGAAAACTGGTGAATAACGTAATGGCTCTCGCAAAAGAAACCTACAATCACGCATTGCCGAGCGTTGTAAGAAAAGAAAGTTTGGCATTTGCTGATTCAGACACTCGACATGGTGAACATTTATCCAGTTCTTTGAGTCGACCCTACACATATATTTAGGACTGTGACTATTTTTAGTACAATATTCTTATAGCTTCAGATAAAGAGAGGCATAAAAATTTAAATAAATCCATTCCTGTCTTTCTCGCACATGTCTAATCTTTTGACTGGGAAGAAAAAGAGACGGTTAAAAACATGTTCTAGAGCGCTTTTTGTTCCTAACTTCAATTGAGGATGAATTATTGTGTAGATAGGTGTAGAATCATCTTGCCTGGTGGCGATATTCGACTCTCTATGAACTTATATACTAACAAATGTTTACCAATATTTGCCCAGCTAAAGCTAAGGTCAAAATGTCGTTGCCAGACATTGTTTCTAAAGCTACTTTGTATTAAATATTTAAAGTAATATTTAACATTCTCGTACACAAACTAATTCCTGTTTCAACATTTATCCTAAACATTCCATGACCTATCTGCTTAAGAAAATTAATTTAAAATAAGACGTTTGTCAATTTTGACTTGAATGCTGCCCATCTTCTCGCTGTGTTTTTACTTAACTGTCAGTTTCATTATCAACTCTAACAGAGGGCTGTGCAATTGTCCACAAGGCAAAGTCTTAATCCTAATTCTGAAATCTGCCTTGCTTTGTCTCTCTTTAATTTGTCATTTGGGCAATTCAGGCTTCTGAACATCAGATGATTTGCGTTCCCAGCGAAGACACTTGAGACAAAGCACGCCGAATTATGTTCAACACTGCGAGACCATGTGGCTCGTCTTACTGGCCATTCTTTCACTGTCCCACTCTATAACTGAGGACCTGCCCCCACCCCCGAGTACCAAAATACTATTCATCATCTAACATTTTCTCATCGAATTTAGACGAAAAACAAAATTGATCCTGCCGAAAACTAGGAGGGACGTGCTATAAATTAAATTTTTTGCTACTAATTTAGGGGTGACATTTTATGCTTGCCTCTTTCTCTTATCGAAATCCTGATTTACAATAGTCTACAAATAGACAAATTGTTGGACTTGTATGGAACGACGTTGACATGGAGCGACGTTGTATTTAGCGACAAAGAATTAATGTGAAACTCGATCTCGCTGAAAAAGCATGAGCGGTACAAAAACAATAAATGCATGCTAAAGAATAAGTGCAGGTTCTCCTTGGACGATCGGAATTCTTCAAATCTTATCTTCAGACCAATCTTATCTCAAAAAAGTCGGACAATCTTATCTCAATAAAGCAAAAATATTCTGAGAAGAACCTATACCAAGCCCCCTTAAACGTTTGGCATCTGCTACGTCCATGGACAAGTTGAAAAGTAGAAAGTATTTCCGAAAGGGTCGGCATTGTCGTCCTTCTATATATTGCTAAATTATGTCGTATCATAAGATAAGCATCGAGCTGGCAATGAATAAATTTGCTTACCTTATACTTTGAAATTGACTTGTACTTACACAGCTGAGAAAAGTCGGTCTGTCTCGTACGAATCGCTGAAAGGAATGAAGAAAAGTGTATCATTGCCCGGAGTCTATAGACACAAGTGAAGAACAGCACATCAATACAACGATAATGGACAATTGTAAAATGTGACGCACCATGAAAGGTGTGAGCTCTGTGACTAACGAGTTTGCACAATGGTGCTTTCAGTGTATAAAACACGGAGTGATGGAATGATGGAGCTTGAGGACTTTAAGTAACTTTTACAGCAAAGAACGTTTACAAGGCTTTGACAAATGCCTCTATCAGGGGCGGATTTAAGCAACAATGATTGGGGGGATGTTAGACACTAATTTTGGTGCCACACCCTTCAGGTCACTGGTAAATGATGGAAAGGCCCATTTTCAATATTTGGTTTTTAACTGTGGCGTAGCCAGGTTTGGAAGATTGGTAGGCCAAAGAGGCAAATATTTTTGCTGATCACACCCCTAAGAATTTGGGAAAACACCCATTTTATAAATGTTTTTGAAAAATCCATGGCATTTTTACGTGGCAATTTCTCTTTATTCAACGTCATAGGTGGCTGACCATATCCTACAACTGGCTATTTCCTTCACAATTCCACTAACGTTTATATCCTGAATTGTGTAAGGCGAGGAATCTCTATGTGTAAAAAGTGATTTTCCAAAGTTGCAATCAAATATCTAACAAAATAACAGCATTCAAAAGTTTTAAACAAAGTCCGTTTTCCTTGGAGGAAAGTCCACGACAAGCATTTCAGAATTCAATTTTTTTAAAGATTGGGTTGCTTTAGCATTTTAGTCTCTATTTTATCAGGAAAGTCTCAAGAACGTGAAAGACTTTTCTATACAAACCCCAAAAAGAGGGGAAATTAGCGAACATTGAACATTGAGGCTCTCCTGCGAGCAGAAAAGCTTAAAATACATTTGAAAATATTCCTCGCCCCCCGTCCCCCCTCCCGCCTTACGCCACTGATAAGAAGATTAATACTGATAAAAAAATAAATGAAGTGAAATCTTGGCGTTACTTTGTTACAACTGACTACCAACAAATGATTTTTACCGAATGAAACAAAATTTACCGAAGGACACAGAACTATTGGGGGCTGTCGCACCCCCTAAATCCGTCCCTGGCCTCTAATCGTAAATTCTCAAATCAACCCCAGGGCTGATGATTTTCTGGATAGGGGCTAATTCGGGAGGAGGCTTATTAAATTGTATACGCATTTGTATATCAGAATACGTTGATTTTTTATTAAAATTATCATGAAAGCAAATTGCAGTACCTAATGCAAGACACGGAAGCAAAATCTAAAATATAGAATATGTGAATTACTGATAGAATATGTAAATAGTAAAGAAACAAACTGGCAAAACCGTAACGAATAACCGGAACATAACTGGGATTGTTCCCGGACTTCAAAAGCTTTTTTGCTATGCTTGCTTTAGATTTTTAGGACTTTTGTAATATGAACATTTTACATTTACGTAGGTTTACTCTCTCAATGTGTCTGTCTTTCTCAATGAGGAGGCCATGATCACTGCATCACATTTTGTTATTCGATGTTTGTATTTTACTTAAAAAAATTTTAACACTGTTTAGAGATAGGCCTACCATATCATTTCCTCCTTCCAAAATTTCACAAAGTATTTCTTACAGCGTTCTTAAAATTTTTTTGGTTGTTGCTGAGTAGGCGTGGGTTAGCAACAGAGATAGCGCTATGGGATGTCATGGGGGGGGGGGCAACTGCCCCCTCAAGAGATTCCAAATGACACCACGTCGGAAGTCAAAACAAAAAAGAAAAAGAATTGTCGGTTGTGTGCAACTGTCGAATGAGAAATTTACTTTTTTTATAAGAAACATTAAATTGAAGTTCAGGCTGGAATTTAGACTTTCGATAAAACCATTAAAACCATTGAAACTTTGAGGCTAGATGGAAAAAATTCGTTTGAGAGGAAATGTTTATATGAAGTTTCACAACTTAGTTCTGAATTACACTTTAAAGTACCTCCGCCTCAGCTTGTTCTTAATTTGTTCTTAACTATGAAATTTGAATAAATTAAAATTTACTTGTGTTCTTATAACATTGTTCTTATGAGGAAAGATTTTGTCAAAAACTGTCGCGAAACTTCATGATTTATTAGGAAACTGATAGGCGTCAAATGTTTCATGGAAATCAAATTTTGCGAAGCAACATTAAAGATCGTAAAACATTGTAAACCACGGTCGCCAAACGAATAAAACATAATGTTGGATGCTGTTTTATGCCGATGTTTTAATCGCTTAGCCAGGGCTTTAAGATTTACTCAAATAATAGTAGAACATTGAAAACGATGGAAAAAAAACGCACCAAGAAATATTCTGGACTGCTAATCTAAAGGGCGTGGTCGCAAAAGTTTCTTCTCGCTTCCTCAGGGATGTCATTGCGATAACTATTAAATGCGCATATTAACAGTAAAAATTTCGTCAGATAAATTTTCGGCAGATGAACTTTGTCGAAAAAAATTTTGGACACATTTTATGGAATTTCGTCGTGACAAAGTTTTGTCGTGGATTTTTAACAAAGAGATAGCAACATATTACCAAAATCACAAACCCATACAGGTTGCTTTATATTCAATCCTATAGATACCGACTTCGTAGAGACATGGGGGCTTGATTGAGCACGCATCCGGAATTTGGCTTAACCCCCCAGACAATTTTTTCACACAGAACCTTATGTCAGGAAAGCCAGATTAAAGCGGAAAGGTGGAGTCAAAAGAGATACTTTTGGTATCCAAATAGTCTCTACTCTATATTTATAGGCATGAAAGTTTATAAACAGAGAAATAATTAAAAATATTAGTGTGAATATAAGATTCGGAAAGCATAAGACAATCTCCAAACAAAAGTTGGTTTCGAAATTGTGCTCCCTGTAGCTTTCAAATTGGGTTTAAAAGTGCAAAAAGCTACCTTGAACAAATGAAAGAAAGTAGCGTAGCCAGGGTGGTAAAATTTGAGGGAAGAGGGGTTGGGCATAGGCGAGTTGAGCAAGAAACAATGGGGTCCCCACCCTTTTGGACCCAAGATATGGGTGGCGTCCGCCCCTCATTACGTCACTGAGTTAGAACTATTCTCATTGAACGATGATGAAAACGAGGTTAGTTCAATAACCGACAACAGTGATGATGATGTCTACGATAAAGATGATTATTAAGATGATTTAAATTTAGAAATGACGTAATTTACATGGAATAGATCATAAGGATACATTCTGATTGTTGACCTCATGTAATAGTTTTTCTATGCGAATTCCCAAAAGTCTTAAATGCAAAAAAATTTGTCGTGACAAAATTTCGACTCATTTTGAATTTCGTCGAAGAAATTTTCGTCCAAATATTTGTCCGAAATTTTGTCACGACGAAATATTTTGTAGTAAATGTAGCCATTTCCACTGTCAACAAGATATTTCCATGATATTCAGTCAAGGAGTGCCTTGACGTTGTCCTGATATTTTCAAAAGAAAATACCCAAAAAGCAAGATCATGCTGCTTTGGGCAAAAACCAAGGAAGAAATGGCAATGCATTGATAATGTATAATGAAGAAATGGCAATGTACAAGGAAATAATGTATTGTTATTGGGCCTATTTGCAAGAAACATCAAAACATTTGAATATCAAATTTGGGCAATTTGAAACGCTTTAACCAAATTTTTAGTTAAAAGAGAGTGTTAAAGATTTGATTGAAGGGACAAAAGCGTTTTTTCGAATTTTCAAAACATTCAAAGATTTAAAGAAACTGTAAAAGGAAGTTCATGAAATATGTCGGCAACCATTTTTATAGTCGTCGGCACTTTAAGATTGTTTGCGCATCGTGGTTTTGTTACTAGCGCCACCCCTGGTTACAAAATGAAAAAGAGAGTCCGAATTTTTTTTGTAATTTATAATTTAGTCAAAATTATGACACGTTTTTTATATTAATCGACACAAGCATGTTCGTTTACACTTGTCTCGAAAAATATCTATAATTGAAAACAAGCTACAAGGTGAAAGGATCAAAGACAAGTTGGATTCCCCCTTTTCCTGACCAGGCCAATTTTAGGTTTTATAGCGAGATTTTCTTGGCCGGAGGAAATTTGCCCACTTCTGGTTTTATCACAAAAACGAGGATTTTTAGCCATCTGTGGGTGCTTTTTCGGTGAATATTCTAATATGGCGGCAAATGAAGATTGTCTCACACACTTTGTTGGCAAATGAGGCCTGAACACCTCCCTAGAGCGAATTAATTCACAAACAAAATAAGAACAATGCAGTCTTAGATTTTCCAAAAATATCAAAAACAGTCAGCCTGAACTAAAGCTTACTGGTTCTTTTAAAAAAGCGGCCAGATCTAAACCAAGTTATGTAAAATTCTTTACTTATTCAAGCCCTACAAAAGTAACCTTTGAACAGTTTTCCTGCAGAATTAAATACAGTTGCATAATAGCCCATAATGTATCGCTTTTTGTGTATGCATTTTGTCTTGCTTTTTATGGTTCACTGTTAACAAAGTTTGATTCCTATATCGTTGAGCTTATGGAAAAGAGGGTTCTTTTTTATATAATATGATAATCAATTAATTTGCAGTAGGCTAAAAATTCTGACGTTTTCACACCAAGACTTTTCTTTTTTTTCTTCTGGTAAGGGAACTCAGCAACATCGTTCTCCTTTAAATTCATTATCCGAGATTTAAATTTGGCAAGGTTTAAGCGATTCTTTTTTTCTGTAATCACCTTATGTCATAATTTTCCTCCTAGACATGACATTATATTATATTTCGAAGCAGGTAGCTCTGACTTTTGGATAAGGGTTTGGCTTCCATTTCTATTTTCATATAAAGATGTCTCTTTTCTTCGCCGTGTTGGTTATATAATTATATATAGTTATACGAACAAAAGAATCATTAACATAATTAACATTGTGTGAGAAACGAGACAGATATGAAAAGGAGGTTACATATCATGAGAGTTATCCTGTTACACTTTGTGGGGAAGGAGGCGTTACAATCAACGTCTTTATAGTGAGATATAAAAGACATTTCAAAGAAAATATTGAAAAAATACCGCAATGGACACCGGTCTCAATATATTTTGCAAAGTATTAT